AGAAAGAGAGAGATTCACATGCAAGTCGGCAGTCTCGGACAATCTACGAGACAGTCCTCCCCCACCTTGGGGAGTCTGCCAGGGCTAATTACCCCCATATCAGCCCTGAATTACCAGCATGGCTTGCTGGGATCCACAGAATGCTGTGTGAGATAGTAAGTCTGCAGGCTTGAGGTTGAGAGCTGATGCAACGGGCTGATGCAATCATCCTGCAATACTTTCTATGGAGGTGCTGGGTCAGAATGACTCAGCAGTAATGTGCTGACAGTTGATTGGCTGTCATCGGTTTAAAAGGGAAACCTGTCCAGCAGTAAGGTGGTGGGGTAGAGGAGTGTGGTCAGAGAGAAAGAGTCTTCAATATTTGCCTTAAGGTGCAGCCAGGTACTCTGTCTGACTGTATGAACTGCTTCTGTAGATATTTGTATATAAAGCTCACAATAAATAACACTGCACTGAAGAACCTGGAACTCTGAGCATTTCTGCTAAAGTGCCGCGAAGAATTCGCGACAGGGTTATGGACCCAGCACACTTTCACTGCACAAGAGTACAGGTGACAGTTATCTAGCCGTGGGTGTGGAGGTGAGCTGCAGGTATGGAGCAGTCCAGAGCTGGCATGTTGCTGGAGAAGCTGACGGCCACAAACTACAGTATCTGGTCGGTCTGCATGCAACACTTCCTGAAGCGTGAGGGCCTGTGGAAAGTGGTGGAAGATCCACCGCAGCCCCCTGAGGAGGATGAGAAGGATGAGAAAGCCTTGGGTACGATCATCCTTGGAGTGGACGACAGCCAGCTGGTCTACGTAGCAGATAAGGTGACGGCAAGTGAGGCATGGAATGCGCTCAAGGCTGTCCATGTGCGAGAGACAGCTGGCTCGCTGATAACACTGACCAGGTAATGTACCGGTGTCGGAAGAAAATGGGGGACTCCCTGGTAAACCACCTAAAGTTCCTAACAGGCTGTTTCCAGGAGCTAGCCTTAAGAGGGAGGCCTGTGGGGGAAGAGGACAAAGTCTTTATAGTCCTGAGTTCCCTTGACAACAGCTATGATATGCTAGTCAATTCCCTCGAGTTGGTAGAGACTGATAAACTGACTCTGGAATACGTTACCGGACGGTTGTATGCAGAGGAGGACAGGCGTGCAGAGAGAAAGACGACCTCAGCCCAGCTGTCGGAGCATCCCAGAGGGAACAACAGCCAGGAAGAGCACAGGTGTTGGGAGCCGGAGAAACAGCCAGGAGGAGCTGCTGCAGACCAGCCGGTGGTCAACAAAGTAAAAAGGTGGTTTTGCTGCAAGTCCAGTGGTCATCTGCTTCAGAGCTGTCTGAGAAAACAACAAAAACAGCAGAAGCACAGGAGGCAGCAGAGAGAGTCTACCGCTTGGGTGTCTGCAGATGGCCAAGAAAATGAAGAGCTGTGGGTTCTGGACAGCGGAGCTTCTCAAACTTTTTGTAAAAGAAAACCATTGCTGACTGATGCTAGGGCTTCAGACAAAAAGCATGTAAGTCTTGCTACAGGCCAGAAAGCTAATGTGGTCTGTGAGGGTGAGATTGTGTTCCCACAGCTGGGACACACATTCAGAAATGTGTTGTGTGTGCCTAGTATGCAAAACAATCTCCTGCGTATTCCTGACTTGGCAAAAGCAGGCTTTGAAGTAAACTTCATGGGAGATCAGTGCCAGATAAAGCAAAATGGGGCAGTGTTGGCAAATGCTAACCTTAGAACTAATATGTATGTACTATGGTGTGAGTCTAAGGTTGCGAATGTGCAAAATGTCCCAACCCACGATATGTGTATTCATGTCCTGCACAGGCGTCTGGCTCATGCTAGCTTTAAGGTGCAGCCAGGTACTCTGTCTGACTGTATGAACTGCTTCTGTAGATATTTGTATATAAAGCTCACAATAAATAATATTGCACTGAAGAACCTGGAACTCTGAGCATTTCTGCTAAAGTGCTGTGAAGAATTCGCGAAAGGCTGGGATCCGATCGTACGGGAGTCAGCCATTTCCCACCGCCGGAAACAGGAAGCTCAGTTTGAGGGTCTTCAAAGCCCATGACATCTCTGGTAAAGGCTGTTCTCCAACTGGAGCACTCACAGGCCAGTGTTTCCCAGTTTTCAGTGTATATACTACATTTTTTAAGATTTGCCTTGAGACAGTCTTTAAACCTCTTCTGTTGACCACCAGCATTACACTTTCCATTTTTAAGTTTGGAATAGAGTAGTTACTTCCATAGACATCTGAAGGCAGTCTTGTATCGGGAAGCATTTAATGTGTGATGTTCTGATATTCAAAACTTGCTACACACACTCTAGCTGGCAAGATGTTCACACTAGGGCTGGCCCACCCATGAAGCAAGGTGAGGCATGGAAGATGGAGCAAGCTTGTTTTATCCTACTCCAGGGGGCACAATCTGAACCAATGGCTTCAAGTTACAAGAGATTCCAGCTAAACATCTGGAAAAACTTTCTGAAGACAGTGGAATGAACTTCCTTGGACGTGGGTGGCCTCTCCTTCTTTGGAGGTTCTTAAGCAGAGGTTAGATAGCCATGAATGCTTTAGTTGAGATTCCTGCATTGCAAGGGGTTGAACTAGATGACCCTCAGGTTCCCTTCCAACTCTACATGTCGGCAATTCTATGATTCTATGATTCTAAATGGGTGCTGTCTTGAGCAGCAAGATTACACATATATGGGCAGCAATGCAATCATTAAGTCAGTGTTTCTCAAACTTGGGTCTCCAGTTGTTGTTGAACTAGAATTCCCATCACCACTGACCACTGGTTCTGCAAGCTAAGGATTGTGGGAGTTGTAGTTCAACAATAGCTGGAAACCCAAGTTTGAGAAACACTGCATACAGCACGTATACACAACTAATATCTAAAGAGTAAAATAAGTCCCCAGTGAACCAGAAAAGCCCTAAAGCGTGGGTGTAACAATATGCCACAGACACATGCTAAAAAAAGAGAGAACAAGGGAGACGGCTATTTTGAATCCAGCTATACCCTATAGAGAAGGGGGAAACTTCCTGTGTGAGTGAATAATGCAAAGACTGTTTGGTTGCCTATACTATTCGTGAATCATAAATCTACTCTTGGAAGATTTAATTATCTATTTGAAGTCTGCTTACTACTTACAGGGGAGTGATAGTTAATATAAGGCAAATATAAGATTGTGATGCTGATCTTTACTGTAAGTATTAGGATTAAGATATCTGCTTATGGTACTTCAGCTAATCCTAGCAGATGCTGGCCCCAAATACCTTAAAGACAGATTGCAGTCCGTTTCCCCATTACAGATACCCAACATTTGGGCCCAAGTTTAAAACAGACCCGAAAGTGCACACACCATCTGTGTGCTCTGCTATCCAAGTGATGTTGGCTCCCACTCCAGCTACTATAAGGAGTGACAGCAAAAGACACTAATGAAAATGGTGCCCAATGATCCTCTTCATGGCTGCTTTCATTTCACTATTCCTGAGACTGTAGATGAAGGGATTCAGCATAGGGGTCACCATGGTATACATGACAGCGGCCACAGTTTTCTTGGGATCTGTGCTGTTGGAACGTGGCTTGTAATAAACCCAGGTCACAGAGCCATAAAACAAGACAACCACAGCAATATGGGACCCACACGTGGAGAAAGCCTTTTTTGTTGGGTTGAAATCACGACAGACGAATGGTGGGTGTCAAAGGAGAGACGTCTGCCGGGACAAGTCCCGGGAACTCTCTTTTATTGAATATTACAAACATTGCCACAGGTGTGCTTGTGGCTGATTGGCTGATACAAACACAAAGCATCTTGTTGCTGATTGGTTAACATAGGTACAAGGCGGGAATAACATTTTACATTAATCAGTGATAGTTCAAAAGACTGGGAGCGGAGCTGGAACTAGACAGGCATGAATCCTCCTAATTAAATTATAACTAAAGATTGATATTGAGAGAACATAACATGAAGGAATACAACAATCACGTTCCGTAAATGTGGTCAGCAATGCATTAAGAACAGGTCAGGATACACTGTTTCATGAAACTCAATGGGAACTGTTCAGAACATTCTCAGACTTATGTGCAGAGGCAAAAACTTCCCAGAATGTAAGAGAGGAAGGAAGCAATAGTTCTCATAGAAAGATTTCATAGTAAGACTTCCCACAATGCCACATTATGTGCAGTAAGAGAACTGCAGAAAGAGAACTTCACAGTGAGAGAACTGCAGAAAGAAAACTTCCCTTCACTTTTTCTTTCCAGAATTGGATGGAATCTTCAGGATGGTGTAGAAAATGCCCATATAGGAGATAATGACCAGCACAAACGGCCCCAGGATCTCCACCACCCCTTCAGTTGGAATCAGCATTTCTATGACACTGCGGTCTGAGCAAGTGATCTCCAACACAGACGGAAGATCGCAGAAGAAATGTGGGATCTCTCTAGAGTCACAGAAAGACATGTGGGACATCAAAATGGTGTAAAGCAGAGAGTGGGCAATAGGGATAAACCAGGACACTGCTGCGAGGAGGAGGCAACGCTTACGGCTCATCAGGGCAGAATAACGCAGGGGGAAGCAGATGGCCACGTAACGGTCGTAGGCCATGGAAGCCACCAGGAAGCTGTCTGAATTGCCAAAACACATAAAAAAGAACATCTGGACCAGGCAGCCATGATAGGAGATGGTCCTTTTCTGAGACAACAAGTTTTCTAGCACTTTGGGGATGGTGGTGGAGATGAAGACCAAGTCAGCTAAGGCAAGGTGGCTGAGGAAGAAATACATAGGAGCCTGGAGGAGCCGTAAATCAGAACGGATCAAGAAGATGATTATTGCGTTCCCCAGAAAGGCCAGCAGGTACATGGAGAGGAATAGCAGGAAGAGGAGCTGTTGAAACTCTGGCTGGATTGGGAAGCCACGGAGGAATAATTCAGAGAGGTCTGTTGCATTCCCAGGACTCATTAGGCTAAAGAAGAAGAAGAAATGTTTAGGCTAGTAAATTCCCCACCCTCTGCTTGCTAGCTGCCCAAACTGAACTATGCGGAAATCCCTCTTTCCTCTCCTCATATCATATTCTCCATGTCTGTTTTTGAGATACTGCCAGACATTGACATAGCAAGGGACTTTAAGACTCTGGATTAGAAGCTGAAGGGCCTTAGGGTGCAGGTGGTTTTTTCATCCCTGCTTCCTGTTGAAGGTTGTGGCCCAGGAAGAGACGGGAAGATACTGGGGGTAAATCAGTGGCTACTCAGGTGTTGTTGCCAGGAATATTTGGCTTCTTGGACCTTAGTTTCTGCTTCCTTGAGGATGGACTTCTGGCAAGAGATAGGTTATACCTCACAGTGGTCAGCAAGAATGTGTTTGCTCATCAGGAGAGCTTTAAACTAAATCCTGAGGAGGAGGGAGACAATATTACAGACGAAAGGAAAACACCTGGTAGTGGGGTTAATAGCTTTGTTGATGCACGGGATACTGAGGTGGTGCTACAGAAAGCTGCTAAAGGGCTAAATGTCACATCCACACCAAGTATTTAAAGCACACCTGAAAAACATAATAAGTCTCTCCCCCCCCCCGCAAGAATTCTGTGAACCATACTTTGTGGAGGCTTCCGGTGGATCGCGGGAGTGAAAGCAAGCGGGATCTTTCGCTTGAGAGAGTATCCAGCTATTGAGGGGAAAAGGGGGTGCTGCAAGAGCGCCGCAGCCCCCCAAATACTCTTGAAAGGGAATTCAAGAGGCAGGGGTCCCGGCACTGTCGTTTAGCATTTCCCCCGGCCACCAAGTAACCTCCTTTTTGGAGGCGACGAGTGTGGTGGGGTAGAGAAGCCAGCAGCGGGAAGCCATTTCTATCCCTCAGTAGCGAAGCTCCGAGCTTGCGCACAGAAGCGATCTGTTCTCAAACAAAAGAAACCGAATTGGAACTATAAGAAATTAATTTACGGATTGGATTAGAACTAATTCGAAGGGGCAAGGTGGGAAAAAGGTCAGCCTTCCCTGAAATTCTACTTATACACAAGAAGAATTTGCGGATCGGAATAAAACTGTAAGTTACTTCAAATGGAAAAATTGGTTGTGGATATATCGGATTGTTTTTTAAGGCTTTTCACAAAGACTATAATTGAGAAAAGGGGGAGATTTGCTGGGAAGCAGCAAGTTGACAGTCTGTCGGTGAGTCGGCTGCAAATGTCGGGGGAGAGAGTGCGGAGTTGGTTACTTTCACTTTTAAAAAAACATGCGTAATAGGAGATATGGACCTTAAGGCAACGTCAAACAATTAAAATACAGTGGT